GGTTCTTGGATCCAATCGAAGCTCTTTCTTTGTGGTCCCATCTTTTGCACGATAGAAGTCAACCAAAACAACGCGTGTCGTGGCTTCATTGAGAGCGCCTATCTGAATTGGGGATAGCATTCCTTTAACCCGACGAGTGGCCGTGAAGTCCGTTTGAAGATAATCTACTACCCAAGATCGCTTGAATTTCTGGTCCAACGCGAGAAGGTCCACATAGGACGGAGAGGCAGCGGGCATGATGGCGATGGAATTTCAACCCTAAACACAGTCGCGGGATCTTTCTCGTCTAGATGTATTCGAGCCCGCTCAGATATAGGTATTGAGCTCCTCCCATTAACATTACTCCTAGGACCGTTCTAGTGCTCGTCAAACTAGTGACACAAGTACTCGAATTAAGACCGGTGTTGGGAGTGACAGCTGCTTGTTGCGCATCACGCGTCACGGCGCCGAAGCACCACCAGAAGGTAAACACGCCCTTGAAGTCGTAAAATAAAACCTGGTCGTTACTGAGATTCAATGTAGCGTGGAGTCTAGAAGTATCGATGGGATTCACTACATGAAAGATGAACGATTCGGGCCGTGAGAATCGACGACACGCTTGGAATGCCTAGCTTCGCTTGGAGGTTTTGCGGTGAGTGATGCCTGCTCACCACGGGAAGATCAAGGCTTGATCCTCTCGGCCCACTAGGTACGCCGCACTTCAAATACAACGTCGATGGACTTTGTCTTTGCCAACATCACTTCGCATAGGTTTGCGAACCACCTTCGCATTTGGTTTCATATATGTTGGGACGGTCCAAAGGTCAAAATTTGGCACCACTGCAGCGAGAGCGCGGGTGTGTGCGACAGGCCGTCCAGGCTGCTGGGCGGACGCCCGCCTTTCCCACCGAAACCTTCGCATTCGCGACTGCGTGCAACATCCATGGTGTGCGACGGCGCTACCCGCCTGGTTCGATTGAAGCCACGATGAGGGGCAATGAGATGAAGAATACGATAAGTGCTGCGGCCTGAGCCATTGCGCCGCAGTGCATGGTGCTTGCTGATGCTCCTGTTCATTTCGCCAACATACTACCAAGCCAGCATGGTGACACCGACAGCGTTCGTCGCACAAGCTGAATTTCCCATCATTTCACATAGCAGGTCAGCATCGGGGTGATCGAGAAGCGCTCTTCAAAGCATCACAAATTATAGATGCTGGTTGGCGCGCCACTGTAAAGCTTCTCATTGACGTGGCTCCCCTCGAGCCGCACGGCCATGATGGCGGAATGAACGCCGACTTCTCCCTGCAACTGCCCAAGTGGACACACCACACGTGCTGCAATCAAGAGAATGCAGGGAAAGCTGCAGCCAATGTCCGGGGTCTCCTTATCACAACACCTGCAGAGGCTGCTGTTCCGTCCGACGGCTGTAGCGGACCCGGGATTGAAATTGCATCCCTGTCAGCAACATACGCTCCGGGTGTTGTGCAGCAAGCGTTCCTGAGGCCCTTCTCCAGATTGTTCGCACGATGCAAGAAAGCGGTTATGGATGAACATGCGGGGCTGGGAAAGAGTTTACTCTCCTCCCACCACCAAAAACAGAAAGCGAAGAGAGCGATCACGCCACAGCCTCCAGACCGACTCCTCCCGCATCTTTGGCATACAGCCAACGAATGACATCTTCTGCTGAAGTACGATCGCCGCCTGTCATGGCCGGGAGGGAGCAGTGCATGCAGGATGACCTGACTGGCGAATCATAAGCGTAATCTCAGCTCAGCTCTCAGCCTCCATCCAGGGCTGAGTCCGATACACGAACTCTGTTGTTCATTCTCAGTTTTTCAACTTTGCTCACGGTCGGCACGACGTTCTGGTTCCTTCAGTTCCTCGTTGTCTGTCGGCATTCATCACTAGAGCGCACAATGAACGTCTCCGTTCAAGGCTACGCCGCCCGGAAGGCTGACAATAGATCTACACCGTTCTTGATGATCCCGCATTATGGCCCCTACCAGACTTACACAAGAGTGGATGCCGGAATAAGCGAGCGCGAATCAGCGTGCAGATCGTCCAGAGATCATCCGAAAATGGGTCTGCTTACTGTTGCTGTGCATGTCCCGATTGGATACCCAGCGGCTACATATTGGATTGTTGCTGACGGACCGCGCAAATGGCAGGCCTCGCTGCAAGCCCGACAGCTCAGAAACGTGCAGGCGCACATCTCAGCTTGACCTGGTCTTCGAGAAGTATCACCTTGGGCCATCCCCCGACTTCGTCAACGCACAGCCGCATTAGGCATATGCCACTCGGCCGGGTCCATCACGTTGCTGTCGTGCAGATTCGTTAATAGTCTGATCCATCCTAACCCCAGCCTTCGAACTCCTTCCCCACCAAGATGGATCCTCGCGACGATTATCGTGACAACGTGAGCAGCCCTCGGAGCTACACTGACGGCGGACAATGGAGCCCACCTCCACGATTTCAAGAGCACGATCAGATCTATCAAGCCCAAGGCTCACCGCAAACATACTCACCACATCCGCATTCACCACCTCAAGGTTCTCCGCCTTTGCAAGATTACCAAGACTACCACCACTCTCCGCCACAAGGCGCCATACAATCGCATGCGCAATATCAAGAAGGGTACTTCAACTCGCCGTGAGTGTTCGACCTCTCTCAGCAATGGAATGAGATCGAACGACTTTCGACAAAAGTGATGGTATGCTAACATTAGACAAGATACTCGACTGAGAAAGAGACGCCGTATGCGACACATGATGCGCTAGGATCCCTAACGCCAGACTACTCAGGACCGCAGGTCGTGCCTGGTCAATTTCAACATTACCCTCATGGCGGTCGGCCGATGTCGCCTTCATCGAACGGAGGCACTACACTGACGTCTCCTCATGTACGACCGTACACTTTCAAGGAGCACGTTGATCCGAACGACCCTATCTCTCGACCCGGAACGGTCCCGCCGCCAGTTCCACCAAAGGATGACAGGAAGTGTGGGCTGAAGAAGAGGACCTACGGCATCCTGGTTGGCTGCATCCTGGTGTGGGTACTTGCGCTTGCACTGGGACTTGGTCTTGGTTTGGGCTTGGGTCTCAAGAAGAACAACTCGTATGTCCATACCGTCTTGAGTGTTGTTCCATCAGGCATACTAAGTAGTGCGCAGTAACAGCAGTGGCACGGATCCTTTCTGCCGCGAGAAGCCAGAGTATTGCATCGGCGGCGCGCTCAATGCGAAGTACTTATCGACGAAGGGTGCGTACAACGGTACGGGCATCGCACTAGCTGGCGAATCGTGGAACGTTGGCCAGCGGCGAATCTTCACGCTGTATTTCCAGCATCACACGGGCGATATTCGCTTCATGCAGTACACCACAGATCGTAAGTGGATTGGAGGAGGCAAGTCTGAAACAGTCGCGACCGATGCGAAGAACGGCAGTCCGATTTCTGCCGTGGCGTTTGCCCTCAACACAACCCAATACGTGAGTCAGGTTAACATAGATGCCGTGTTTTTGAGGCTAAAGGTTATTGTAGTTTCACATCTTTTACATCGACAAGAACGATACCGTCAAGCAGGTTACGAAGACCAATATGACCGATATCTGGCAGTCGGGCCCATTGAGCGATCTGAAGCTAAAAGCTATGGACTCACCAAGCACCGGACTACAAGCATGCTGGAAGGGCAACTACTACGGCGATTCCGATTTCTCCAAGTTTCCCACCGCCTCCGGCCAACAAAACACTCAGCCATTCGAAGAGCGCCTAGGCATGAACATCTGGTACGCCGTTGACGAGTCCACCTTTCAGCAATATGCTTGGTACAACGGCCAGAACACATGGGTCCCCATCCAACGTTGGCAAGGATTCAACGCGCATGCTGGAGTCGGCTGCTACAGTTGGGGCGAAGGCACAACTACCTATGCAATGATGGCCAACAAGCAAAACAACGTCGAGTTCTGGTGGAAAGACACCAACACCACCACCGTCTCGCAGGAGAATCATCCCATCAACTCATGGCAGAACTCCACCAGCGGCGCCATACGCAATGTACATCCCATCACTTCGCTCGGGTATACGACGTACTTTTATGCGCAAATGGCAGACCGAAGCGTCAAGGGATACAACGTCACATACCAAGCGGAAAACACAACGTTCGTCCAGGACCAGACATTCACGATCACGGATCCGGCAGGCCCGGCGCTCGGACTAGGCGGCACGCATCTTACCGTGACGGCCTATGCGGAGAAGGCTGGTAATGTGACCAAGTGGGACAGTTTGTACGTGTTTTACCAAACAGAAGGAAGCGATATCACGGCGTTCACGAGGCCGTTGTCGGGCGGCGAGTGGACGAAGGGAACGTTGACGATTCCGGACACGTAAGGGTCGCATCCTGTGAGTGAGTGACGCGGATGGGGATGAACGTGGTAAATGAGCGAGAAGACTTTGATTGTATAATTTCCTTGGTGGTTGAAAAGATTTACGAGTCGTACTGCGCGACCACGATCATTGCCATGGTGTGGTCAACGTGCTTGGTGTTTTGGAGTCGCTTGAAACATGTTTTCCTATCGAAAGGACCAAAAGGACATATTTTTGGATACCCTCATTGAACTAATTTCATTCTCGTACTATCTTGAATATGCGTTATGTCTGTGAGATCGGCTCGCGCACGCAAAGCCTGGCCATGCTGAGGTGAGATTCGGCCTTGCGACTCGCGACCGCCACTGCGCAACTATTTTCCGCGCTTATCGGCTTTGACCATGGACTCTCTTGTCAACACGAAAGTCAGTGTGTTTAGAGTTGTGTCCTGTCGGTCCGTCGGTTTAGCGCCACGATGTCGCACGGGGTAATTTCCGGCGCTCATCGGCACAACTCTCCAACCACACCCCGCTTCAATAGTGCCCCACCCTCATTGAAAAATCTTCATTTCGACAGTTTGAGAGTCTGTTTTGCGTGCGCTTCATGGCAGTTTAATTGTGATTATATTATAGCCAATTCTCCAAAACTTCATAATCAATTGGGCGTGTGGCTCAGTGGTAGAGCGTCCGCTTTGCATGTACCCTACAGTCCTCACAGGCTTCAGGACAACTACGCTGCGGAAGGTCCGGGTTTCGATCACCCGCCCGTCCACCAGAACGCAATCGCGTTTCTTTTTGACCATATTATGATGTTGGGCGTCGATTTTTGGGCTGCGTTGGGGTGGGGTGAACGGGGTTGGACGAATTTTTGGCATTCAGGGCGACAGAATTTCTGTCGTTGACTAGAGCATTTGCGCATTGTTGTACTTACTTTTTTGCTTTCGAATATCTTTCTGAAAACGATGGAGGATCTTTGCGGTACAGCGATATGGTATTTGGGGCACCGTCACCATTCAGCATCAAGGTGTTCAAAGCAAATTCATGTATAGATCATCATCACTGGGAATCCATACTTTGGTATTGCATAAATTTCGACAAGCATTGTAAGATCAAATATCATTAAGGGCAAACATCTTGGAGGAACGTGAGGCGTTCATCCGTGGAGGCGGTGGGAGCGTTCGGATCGTCAGCGTCGTCGATCTGAATCTGAGACTGCGCGTCATCATCAGGAGGGTCCCACTCAGCGCGGACCGAGGACCTCCTTCGCGATGCTGAGCGTTTTCGTCAATAGCTGGGGTGTCGATGTCACCTACACCTCCATCGCCATCTTCTTCGTCGCCTTAGTCATCGGCTCAGTCATCGCCCTCGCCGCGAAGAGACTCTAGGGCAGTGAGTTGCTGCCGCGTATAGCATTCGAGCTATTTATTCGCTGTTTGTGCTACCTTGTGATCTTTGCGCGGAGCGCTGCCGCAGTTTGATGTGAGCCCTCCAGTAGATGACTTTTTTGCGATCTTGAGCAGATACTTCATTTCTGCCGAGGTCTCATCCAGAGCTTGACTACTATACCGCTTTCGAAGCCGCTTCAAAGTAACTTTGCGATCGTAGAAAGCTGCATGATGTTCATTCAGCAAGTCAGAAGCTTCTGAAGTGTTCAGGCCACCAAGCAATGCCTTGTAGGTGCCGGTGACATGCGTAGTGTAGCCTCGAGGCACATCCTCAATAGACTGCTAATTGAGAAAGTTTCGCGCACGGTCCGTTATGACTTTCACTTTGACCTGGACTCCCACATACTCCTCTTCTTGCCAGATCAAGTCGTCTAGGTGGCAGCTCAGCTCATTCTTCAGAGATTGGCGATGTTCATCCTTCTCTCGTATTTATCCTTTTCTTGTGGTCTGGACTTGGTGATCTTGCCTTAACGAAACTGTTCACTCAGCTTGCTGGCACCGATCTGCTCCGTTCCAAAGCGCCATCCCTAAATGCCGATGTCGCCCCCACGGGAAGTGTAATGAGAGCGTAGTACTTCAGAATCGTCTACGTGAGCGGCAAGCTCCTCAGCAGCTTCAGTTCCATGATCTCTCTTTGTCTCTGACAGAGCAGTTTGGCGAAAGGAATACATGGTGTTGCGGAAAGGAGAGCCGCAGCCAATGCAGGTATCCTGGAGCTTCGCGTTCAATGCAGCTTCCCTCATCACAGCAACAATTCACACGCCGGAATTTCGCCGGAAGATTCCATATCTAGAAAGAGACTTTGAACGGTAAAGGTCTAGAAGTGGACTTCGGAAGTCTTAGCGCGAGAGGAGGCAAGTAAACAGTATACTCTTGTAGAGGAATAGTGGCGCATTGCGATTAACATCACTCACTGCCCGTAAGAGTGACAGAGAAGAGTGGATGATAGGCCTGCCCATCTCTAGTATAATATGTTAGAGTTCCGACAAGCGTGCCTGTATGACTTCAATGCACTCTATCCTCTCTTGTTACGTAGCATTCAACTTTGAAGTGTTTCAGGCATGGCTATGAACACTTTGTGTGTAGTGGGGACGCATATGAGGTAAAAGAGATTGCCTGATTGCAACTCCGAGACAAACGAGCCTGAGATCGAGTTCTAGGCGTGCAGAGGCAAGAGGCACGAAAAGGAACTTGCGGGTTTGATCGACGTAGTCGGGCGCAGAGGAATGGCGCGAGCCCTTCTCGTAGCGGATGGTGAGGCGAGAACAAATCTTCCCGCCTAATAAACTGGGTAAGCAAAAGAGAAATAAGTGATATGATATGTATGACTTGCCACCTTTAACCACTCGATGTCTGACCAGCGCTGTGTTCGCCTGTTATTCTTAACATGCTTTCAAACATCGCTCTTCGAGAGAAGGAGTCAGGTCGAAGGGCGTTGCTGCGCTAACCAATGTGGTGATTGTGGGGTGTCCAAGGCCATTTGTTTGCTGCGCGTGCAAGAGACCTCGGGATAACCCGTCAGACTTGATGTCCAAGTAATCTTCTCAAGTCATGGTTGTCTACGGAATGCGTCTGTAGAAGTAAGCCCCTGAAGCTTTTCCCAATAATACGTTTGTAGGTCAGCACTTAAGGCGCGCCTTCCGAGCCTTGTCCCTTGAACGCTTTAACTCAGCCCTGCGCGGCGATGCGACATACAGCCCTACCGTCGGTCTGCAACACAACGATCACATCGCTAAATGGTACATGTCAGCACTGGCCCGGGAATCCATGATTTTACTAGCAAACATCACGAACAGCCAACGCCGGTACGACCGACTTTCCACACAATGGTGTAACGGCACAATCCTTGCATAGTTAGACACGAAGACAGAATGTAATCATGTCTGTCATAAGTCTCTATGCATCATTCTTACCAACAAGGAGTTGCAGTCCGTGGCTTCTCCCAATAATGCGTGACTGTCACACAGTTGTTTTGGACTGCTAGCTGCTCTTCTGCAAACGATAACAGAGGCGATGCGAGCCTTTTGAAAGGATACTGCAATCGACAAACGCTACTAGTGCCCATGCTGGCATTTAGTCTTTCTTAACTTGGCAAACTTAGGGAGAGCAATTTCAATTGTTACCAACGTCCGTCCTTTTGTGACGGAAAACCTGCCGTAGCAGAACACCAACATTTGACAACGCCAAAACTGTCGCATAGCGTAGATAACCTCGGAATAAAATCCTTACCTCCTTATCTTCCTGTTTACTGTCTTCATTTATTGTAGGTGTCTTCCTTGCCTTGCAGAGTTTTAAATTACTGCTAAGCTACTTAACTTCACTTTCTGAGACTACCTTAGACGTTCTTTAAGTATTGTGCACCTATCTAAGAAATGGTTAGTTCACAGAGTGTTTAAACAAAATGCTGTGTTTAAGGGCTAGTTGCATTGCGGTAGTAATACAGGATTTGTGTACGGGCCTTACATCGGCCGTGAAATCGCCTGTGTATCGTTATTGTACAGAGGTTACAGGTGTGCGTTCGCCGAAATGTGGTTATGGAAAGTATGGAGATTCGAATGTCATTATCGGATTTCAATATGTCGGCACTCTTTGTTCTTCCCACGCCACACCACCGAGGTCTCGTTGCGTCAAAAGTCGAATTTGAGTGATTGCAATTCCCCTTGCAATTCTGGTTCACATGTCGCAAAGCGACAGTAGACCGTGTTCTGATTGCCACCTTGGTGGATGGCCAGGCACAGGAAGCTGCTCATCGGACCCGCCGCCTCCATTCCGAAGCAGAGCACGCCGCCGAGCTCAGCGCTGATCTTGTCTCTTTCCGCCACGCTTCTCATCACCTGGTTACCCGTTGCGATCGTGCTGCCGTGCACAAACACTTCCTCGCTCTCGCGCGGCTGACGTGTTTCTTGCCTGTCAACGCTACACCAGTCGCATGTCTGCTCTCCGCCGTGTTCATACGCTGCGTCGAAGAGAATGTCACACTCCGAGCCGACGCGCTGAAACTTGGCGGTGCGCTCCAGCATAGAGGCGTACTTAGTGAGCTGGCTCCAGCCGCGTAGTTCGTTCGCACGAACTTCAGCTCCCGTAGTAAGCAGAACATGCGGTGCAGAGTTCAGCGACCTGCTTGATTTTCTCCTTGTAATAACATTACAAGTATGTAGATATGGACGCTATCACTCAAATCCAGCCAAGGCATGATATACACTAGGGGTTTAGGAGGTTAAGAGTGGCAGCATAGGCGCAGAGGAGAAAGAGATGCGAAGTAACAAGAGACAGCAGGTCGAACAGTAGGCGAATCAGGCACGTAAAGCTCCCTAGACTAGCGCAAATCCATAGCTGTGTAGTTGCAAGCCTTAGGCGCATTCGTGCAGCGGGGACGCGCGCAGAGTTGAAACAGCGACCAAGCTGAGTCAAGAAAAACGCGAACCGAAGGCGCTCAAGCCCGAGCGAGTCATGCTGAGACCTAGCCGAGGCTAGCCCCACAGCCCCACAGAGCTACGGTGGCAGTGGGTGAGCTGGCTTAGGGAGGAGGTTGCACTGCTGACAGAGGTGCACGCGATGAAGTGCTACTATAGACTCGCGTACTGAGCAGAACTACGGGGAATTCGTGTGGTAAGCACCCGAGTTCCCGAGCTCATGGTGAAGGCGGTGCACGTAAGACAGTAGTTATAGTGACTAGAGACCTAACAAACTTAGCAACGGGAAGGCTAGTAGCAAATTTACCTCAAAGCAGAAGGAATACGCCTTGAGCAACGCAGGTCTGCAATCCAAGATGCCTTCATCTCAATTGTGGTGGTCGTGAGGACAAAAGACTTGACCTAATGCCAGTCAACGAATGTGCTAAACGCTCAAGTCCTTCTTTGAAATTAATAAATTCGTGAGAATGTTACATTATATACCCTGATCATATCATCAATATTCCTATGCCTGGCGACCCTCGCGAGTCAATGACCTTGTCGAGGCCGCCGCACTGTGTGCGCCTGCGTCGATCTCCACCAATTGCATGAAACCCCCCTCATTGTCGCTACTCTGTGTCTTCCGCATATGGCTGCTCACCCTGAATGTTGTTTTTGCGCTGATGCCGCTCGTGCCCAATCCTTGGAGTGTTCTGCCCCCGCTGTGTCCCAGACCCGTTCCGTTCGTGTCTTTGTATGTGGAGTTTGAGGTGCTGCCGAGGATTCTAGGGAAGAGGCGCACTAAGCCGAGACGTATGGCAGGCATACAAGAGCAAATGATGCCGACTTCCCATTCGATGATGGACCATAGCGATGCTTCTGTGAAGTCCCAGGTGACGTTTGTTGTTGTAGCAAAGTGGGTGAAAGCCCGCAGA